GTGGGATGCCCTGACTCCACCTCTTAGAAGCTGAGCTGTCTTAGGAAAACTGTTCAACCTCCTGTGCCTTCCTTTCATTCTTAGTAAGACGGACAATAGCCTCACTTTACTGGGTTACGAGGAAGTGGGAGAGCACGTGGTTCTCAAAGGTCAGCATGCACCAGCGAAGCCTGGAAAGCTGCCACACACAGATCGCAAAGCTCATCCCCAAAGGCTGACTTGGTAAGTCTGGGGTAGAGCCGGAGGGTTCCTGTTCTTAGTGACTTCCCACGGGGGTACCCACGCTGCTGCTCGGGGGACCACACTTGGACAAACAGTTATGCGACATTTAGTTTGGTCAGCATCGACGTGGTGTGCAGCAAGGTTTCTGAAAAACAAACACACCTCACGCTTTGCTGGGGATCTCTAGCCCATTTTCTAACATTATTTTGGTAAATGTTTATGAGGCACCTACCAAGGGCAAGATATACCCCCATGAGTGATAATCTGTGGAGGTGGTTTTGAAGTAGGGCTTGTCCGTTGGTGGAGCTGAAGAACACGGGGCTGCCCGGACCACCGTTAATTACTGCCACTGAAAACATGAATCATCATTTCAAGTCTCCACGAAACATACAGAAAATCACAATGAAAACCACTTTTTCTAAGTGAGCCACAAGCCGGAAAGCTCCCGAGTTTTCATCTCAGTAGAGACTGTGCGGAGGCCTGTGAGTGGTAAGCGGAAGGGGTGGGAAGACGGAGCTGGTTCCAGCCTTGCTCTTACCGGCGTCCTGAGGTCACCGGGCACGTCTCCGTCATTATGGACCGGTCTGGACTTGAGCCCTCAGGTCACTCTCGAAGAGTAACAGCAGCGGGATGCTCACAAGCCCAACCCACCTGTGCAGGGTTTTGTTCCTCGGAAGTTATCACAAGTCGTCTGGTTTGGCTGCTCTGAGATTCTTCCCAGGCAGCCTTTCGTTCTGTGGATGAAAAGGTGTTGCAAGGAGGTAAAGAAACACACAGAGAGCAAACACGGAGACAATGAGTTTGACAGATCCATCTTTAATTTTGCCATTTTCTAGTACTCATAACAGGGTTCCTTTGGAGAAGAAGAAAAAAAGAGCCTTGGAAGAAACCTGCCCAGAGAGGGTTGCAGTAGGACTACTGACACCCATTCCAAAAAAAGATAAAAAAGGGTCTTTTAATTTGGATTCTGGGATGCAGTGTTCTGTGGATTTATCTCTTAATACACAGACCACTCTAGTCATGTCTCTTAAGAAACTTGAGTAAAAATTTTTTGCCTAGCGCTAGCTGGGTGGCTCAGTTAGTTAGAGCGTCATTCCTGTACACCAAGAGGTTGTGGGTTCGAGTTCTGATCAGGGCATGTAACCAGAGGCAACCGATCGATGTTTCTCACATTGATGTCTCTCCCCCTCTCTCTATCAATCTTCCTCTGTCTAAAACTGAAGGAGCATATCCTTGGGTGAGGATTAAAAAAATTCTTTGCCCAACATACTAGTTAGTCTCATGTATAAATGACAGCCATCATATTCATTGGCAAACAATTAGAAGCCATTTCTGCTACAAAATCAATCTTGCTAGCAGACCCTGGTGAGCGGGGATCACCACTCCCATTTTCAGGTGTGGGGAATGGAAGTGCCGAGAAGCTAGTTTCAGAGTGACTTGCTGTCACTCAGAGAGACCGAGGTAGAGGCAAGAGGCACAGCTTCCGCTGCTGACTGCTGTTGCAGGAGACACTGAAGTGCAGGTGCAGTGAGTACAGGAGACAGAACTTGGGACTGGCCTCCTCTGGGACTTCAAGGAGCAAATGACGCCAAGGTTGGCTGAAACCAGATTCAAAGCAGGCAGCTGTTGGTTGAGCTATAAAGCATATCAGTAGTTTCAGGTCTTATAAGAGTGCATTTCCAGGACCCACCTCCCAAATAATCATGGTTGGAGGCTCCTGGAAGGAGTACGATTTTGACCTTGGATTTGCTTCTCACTTTCTGAGCGAGTACCACACTCCTGGAGACTCCCCCTCCTCGGCACAAAATAGGAATTCTTCTCCTATGTATTTTATGGGGGCGAGGTGAAGCTGAGAGAGAAATGCAAGGAAGTACTTATTAGGAACATCATCTAAGCAGGGACTGGGCTCTTGTATCACAAATAAATCAAGATGAAAAAGTAGATTATATCCTGCAACTCTGAATTAAAAAAAAAAAAGAACTTGCTGGAACAATCAGTGTAATCTTGGGAAACAAGCAGGTTAAATCCATTAAAGCAGGGACCTCCTCAGTGACACATGAACCGCCATCATCAACTTATTTTTATGAGATCTGATGACAAATTGTTCCAAGTGGCGACCCAGGGGTTGTAAGTCTAAGACCTCTGCACGCCACTGCAGCAGGGTTGGGACAGATGACGTGACAGCATGTGCTGGAGAGACACACAACTGCCCCATTTGCCAAATCGCTGATCGCCTCAGTCACGTCTGTGTAGATGGATTCAGGCTGAGGAGTCTGCCTCAGAAATTGAGGATTCAGAAAGCTATGGCTTCTTGGTTGGTTTGTTTGTTTTCCAGCCATAGCACCGTATTGATAGAATTTAGAACACTGCTCTGTTTGAAGGTACAAAGTGTTATTCATCAAATGAAGCCAAAATCAGGTACACCAAATTAAATGCCCCCAAACTATAATTGTTTGCTTGCAAGGAAAGCTGCCTTTATTGGAGTGCCCGGGCCACCAAACAGAAAAGCCTTTTTGTCATTAGTTGAGACTCCCTACAGAAGTCCCACCAACCTCTTCACCTCCTGGCACACGGGGTAGGCTAATTCCTTGGCTTTGGCTGACCCAACTTGTAAAACCTTCTCTATGTGGTCCCTGTCCAACTTCAGTTTTTCAAGTTCACTCTTAATTGGAGCAAATTTCTCAATCACAGCATCTGCCACCAACAGCTTGTAGCGAGCCGTGTCGATCCCGGCGCTCTGGCGGACCACCTCCTCCACTGGGAGTCCGCTCACTGCGGAGTGGATGGCGACCAGGTTGGACACACCTGGACGGCCGGCTGGGTCGTAGGTGACCTCCGAGGTGAAGTCCGTCACGGCCTTGCGGAATTTCTGCACGATCTCCTCTGGGCTGTCTGTTATTCTGACGGTGGCCAGTTTGTCTGGGTCTGATTTCGACATTTTGGCAGAAGGGTCTCGGAGGGATTTTACCTTCTTCATTGATGCTTAGGAGAAAACAACAACACGCACATCCCCAAAACAAAACAAAAGACAACATGAAAAAAAACACTAGGAATGTCAGCATCCAGCTCTTCAAAAAAATCAAGAATACCAAATGACTTTATTATTTTTTGTCTGATGATATAAAAATGAAATTCTCACCTTGCAAAATTAAAGCAATTTATACAAGCGAGAAAGTAAATGTCATCTGAAATGTGTAGTAATAATGTTAACATTTGGTTGATCATATTTCTATGCATTGTGAATGCACGTGTACACATAAAAATGTATACTCTTATACAAATAAACCATATCAATCACACTGTTTTTACCATGCATACCTTGAAAAAAAGGACTCTTTCTTCTCTCTCTCTTTTCCTCTCTGTGTTTGCCTATAGCTAATCACCCCCTACCCACGACCACTGACTGCCCTTGCTGTCCCCAAACCAATTTTAATGATCTGTGTCAGTCCTTCCAAGGATTGACACTCAGAAGGTACACACTTATACAACCCTTACCCAGGATTACACAAGTGTGTGCAAACGCATATGCACTGAAGAAGCTTATTGCTCTGATAGAATCAAGATGTTAAGCTGTGCTTCATAAACCAGTGGTAGTAATAACTGCCTCTTTTATGGCTAATATGAAGCATATAAAGTTGAACTAGGTAAAGTAATAATAGGCCAAAACACTGAAATGTTACTTATTGCTAAAAGGTTGACTCTGGTGCATGGGGTGCCCTGAATTCATCTGTGGCAACGGTTGGAATAACTCAGAAATTTATATCCACCTTATGTTTCTGAATTGATACTGGGAACATGTTCTGTTCCTTTAAAAGGCTATCAGCTTAATAAAGATGGACAGAGCTGAGGTTCAGTGATTCTGGCCCTGTTTACACAGCTACAAAAATGTTGGTAGAGATTTATCGCTTCTTTCCTCAAGACGATTCCAAACTAGCGCAGCCCGGCTGCTGCAGCTGAGGTCTCAGGTTCGGTCGGTGGCCTTAACACTCCACCTCGGTTGTGCGTTTAAGAGGGCAGAGTATGAGGATCACCAGCGCCTTCTGGTTTTATCTGGTCATGACCCAGCAGTCCTCAGTGACATGGCTTTTGTCTTACTGCGGACAGGGAAGGCAAGGTGAACCGGTTCTGGAATCTGAAGGACTCAATGCAGGACCCAGCTCTGCCACTAACTACGTACAGGACTTGAACACACTGTTAGCCCTGCCAAACCTTACCTTCCTTATCCATAAAATAGGGGCAGGTACCTGTTCCACCAAAGGAGTGGTATTTTATATACAAGTATACATTTTATATGTAAATGTGTAAATATTTCTATATGGCAAGTCATAAAATATACTTGAAAATGATTATTTTTAGTTTTTAGTCTCCCCCATACTTTTCCAGCTTGATTATTTTATTCGATTATCCGATGAGGTCTACTAGCCCTGCATGGTAGAAAAACATGGGGATCTAGTTGTAAATCCTGAGGCCTGTCCATGAGAAAGCCAAGCTGAGTCTCAAGAAAGTTCCCAGCTTTGGCCCATTATCCAATCCTTTCTTCCGAACACGCCCTGATTACTGGACTTAACCAAGGGGATCGCTTTGTAAGTCATATACATGTCTAATCACTACATTGTATACCTGGAACTAATAAAATATAGCATGTCAGTTATAACTAAAAAATGTTTTCAAATACTAAAGGATTAAAAAACAAGCTCCGATTTATCCATCACATGTTTGTTACTCACTTAGAATGGACTTGGGCTCTGGGAAGAACTCCCCGTACTTCTTGTTAAACCCTCGAGCGAGATCCTGAACTAGCTCCATGTGCTGCACTTGATCCTCCCCGACAGGGACGTGTGTGGACCTTTAATAAAAGACAGACAGAAAGCTCCGCAAGGCTCCTGCTTAGAGGGAAACGCTATTGCCCGCAGCCGCGTTTCCTGTGCCTGCCTCACTGGTGGTGTTTGGCAAACGCTCTCCCGCTGCAGACGGGACGCGGAGGCCCACGTCTCTATCTGTGTGTCGGACTAATGCCAGAGACCTTCCTCTGCTCGAGTTCTCTCCCCTCCACAGCGGAAGAATACAGCCATCAACACCAGAGTGACAGGATCTGGCTGCGAGGGAGGAATGGTATCTTAAACAGCACAGGCTCGAAGCATAATTGTATTCCAAAACCACTCCTCCTTCCCTCGCCCACTCAGCACATATTATCCTGGCTTTGACCAGACGCTTCCTACTTCAGAGCTTGTTGTGCTCACACTTGAAAGACACTCCACCCAACTCTTCAAATCAAACGTGGCAGACAGCTCTTCGGGCGCGAGTTTTCCTCTCTGTCACACAGGGTGTATGTAACTCAAGATCTTTTTGAATTATGCTGTCAGTCCTGGTGGGGTAGTTCAGTTGGTGGGAGTGTCATCCCAATATGCCAAGATTGCGGGTTCAATTCCTGGTCACAGCACATACGAGAATCAACTAACGAATACATAAATAAGTGGAAAAGCAAATCAATGTCTTTCTCTCTCCGAAGTAAATTTTAAAAAAGGAAATATGCTCCTTTGTTTTCGAGCACACTTCCATCACAGGACAATTAATATGCTGTAGGGAACTTAAAATAAATGAGCAAAATCTACCAGAGGGATCTCAAAAACAGCGATGAATGAAAAAAAAAAAAAAGCAAGTTGCAGAAGATATTAATGTAAATCTTAAAGTACATGTGAAAATTCTATACATTGTTTACCAATGCCTATGTAAGTTAAAGAACATATTGGGGGCTTTTCCATAAATTCACGATCACAGCTGCCTCCAAGAGACGGAGGGGAAAGAATGAGCCCGAGGAAAGGAACGAAGGAGGCTTGAATTATATCTGCGATATTTTATGTTATTATGCAATGAAGGGGTGAAACAAGAATGATCAGAATACAGGGACTTCATTTATAATTATTTCAATCCCATATGTAACGTTTGCGATCTTGACTCATGGTGAGTTATGTCACGTGGAGAAGAATGAACCATTATGTAGGAGTCTTGGTGGAGAAAACTCTATACTGAAAGCAGATGGGTGATTTTTATTTATTGATTTTCGAGAAAGAGAGAGAGAGGAAGGGTTGCAGCGGGGGAGAGAGAAACATTGATTTGTTGTTCCACTTATTTACGCATTTATTGGTTGATTCTTGTACGCGCCCTGACTGGGGATCAAACCTGCAACCTTAGGGACTTCTGCCAAGATGGAGAAGTAGGTGGAGGGTCTACCTCGCCTCTGTGCACAACCAAATCTAAGAACAACTATTTTTAACAGCAGTCACAACCAAGCCACACGGAAAATCGACAATACGGAGTCCAAAGGACAACTAGATACTCGGCTGGACCGGTGCGAGGAGCGAGGCCAGAAGCAGAGCAGGTTAGCAAGAAAAAATCCCCGGGGGGGTGCGCGGGGGCGCGCGGCACAAAGCAACTGAGGGGCTACGCCGCAGCGGAGCTGGCTGCGGAACGCACGGGAGAGGGGCGCGGGTGGGTCGCTCAGTCGCGCGCATTTACGTGCGGAGAAACCAGTGAGAAGGGAAACCCGTGCGGTGCAGCAGGCTCACACAATTAGGATCGGATAAACATGCCCAAGGCGTGTGAGTGACTGGATGCGCTGGGCTAGCGGAGTGGAACGCCATTGCTCCCTCTCTGACCATGCCCCCACACACAGCGTCACAAACCAGCGACCTGGGTCGCCCCGTCCTGGTAAACAACTAATGCTTCTCTCCGCTCACTTAACAGCACGAATAGACCAAAAATGGCTCTAGAACCACTCAGAGCCCCAGAACCGATAGACCTAAGTGATGAAGAAATAGCCAGTCTTTCAGATGCACAGTTCAAAACACTGGTTATAAAGATCCTTACAGAACTGGTGGATTTTAGTCACAAATTAGAGAAACATATGGAAGCTAAATTAATTGAAATGAATGCTGATACAAAAGATACCAATAGTGATGGAAAGAAAGAGAATTGGGACTCAAATCAAGGGAGAGGACCAGACAGAAGAAAAAGATGATCAAGCAGAAAGGAATGAAGAAATAAGAATTCAGAAAAATGAGGAGAGGCTTGGGAACCTCCAGGACATCTTTAAACGTTCCAACATCCGAATTATAGGGGTACCAGAAGGGGGAAAGGCACAACCACCAGTTGAAAAATTATTTGAACAAATAATAAAGGAGAATTTCCCCAAGATGGCAAAGGAAATAGACTTCCGAGAGATCCAGGAAGCTCGGAGAGTCCCGAGGAAGTTGGACCCGGGAAGAACCCCACAAGGCACATCATAATTACATTAGCCAAGATTAAAATGAAGGAGAGAATCCTAGAAGCAGCAAGAGCTAAGGGGACAGTCACCTACAAAGGAGTTCCCATCAGACTGTCAGCTGATTTCTCAAAAGAGACCTTACAGGCAAGAAGGGGCTGGACAGAGGTATTCCAAGTCATGAAAACCAAAGACCTACAACCAAGATTGCTCTACCCAGCAAAACTTTCATTTAGAATGGAAGGACAGATAAAGTGCTTCTCAGATAAGGTCAAATTCAAGGAGTTCATCATCACCAAACCCTTACTATATGAAATGTTAAAGGGACTTACCTAAGAAAAAGAAGATAAAAAAGATGAACAGTGAAAGGACAGCAAACTCACAGTTATTAAGAACCACACCTAAAACAAAAGCAAACTAAGAGGATAGCTAGATCAGGAGCAGAACCATAGAAATGAAGATCACAGGGGAGGGTTAGCAACAGGGGAGTGGGAGGAGGGGAAGGGGGGAGAAGGTACAGAAAATAAGTAGTATAGACAGTAGATAGAAAATAGATGGGGGAGGGTAAGAATAGTAGGGGAAATACAGAATCTAAAGAATTTGAGACACATGTTCATGAACTAAAGGGGGAAATGGTGGGGGAGGGGTATGCAGGGTGGAGGGGAAGGGAGGGGGGAATAGAGCAAATGTAATGGCATAATCAATAAAAAATAAATAATAAAAAAAAAGTCAAAATAAATAAATAAATAAATAAATAAATAAATAAACCTCACACACAAAAAAAAAACCCTGCAACCTTGCCATAACAGGACAAAGCTCTAACCAACTAAGCTACAGGGCCAGGTCAGGATTTTAACTCTCTAATGCTGGCTGGGGAGTTTACAGTTGATAATAGTTAATTAAGTGCTGCAGTTTCTTGACCAAAGAAGTTGAACATCCCCCCTGTGAAAGCAGCAGCCTTAAAGTGAACTTGAGTATTTAAATACTTATAAATTCTAAGAGAAAAACAGCCACAGCAAAGAAAAATTGCTAGAAAACCATGGTGCTTTGTTATAGAGAGGAGAACCTCCTCGCCCAGGGGTAGTGAATGATTCTTGAAAAACTGGCCAAGATCTTCGATTTTCCTTGTGAACCGCTGTCCACAGGCTACTGGGCCATTAAACATATCTGTCTAGAGCATGGGACAGTGAAGGCAGTGATGACCAGCATGAGGACCAGCTACTTTAAGACAAGAAAATACTTGAGAACATTTAGAAAATTTTTGAAATATCCCTCATAATTTTAATCATTTTTATTTTTGCAAATTACTTTCTAGTCCTTGTTATTGTCTCTATATAATAAATTTATACTTTTGTATGACTGCAGTTATAATATGCATACCACATTTTATGTTAACATAAAAGGCATTTCCTATATATCTATGTGGTGTTCATTAAGAGCATTTTAATAGAAGTACAAGACTGTCCCTGAACTATAGTTACAGAATGATAAGGAACTTGCATTATTTTGTACACAGATTTTTTTGAATATTTATATAGGGGGAAATTTTGATTAGAATGAACAAAAAATGACCTTTTACAATAACTGAAAATTATCTGAGATAAATCTGGTGAATGAATGCTTCATACTTTCTGGTCAGAAACAAGCATGACTGTCAGTTAATGAAACTGATATTTGTTTGATAAAATAATTCTGAATATATTTCCAAAAGAAGAACTGATAAATGTTTTGAGTATCAGAATAAGGAATAGGTTTCAAAGCAACCCTTTGACACTTCTTTTGCATGAAAGTCAAATGGAATTCATTTTACTTTACTTTTTAAAGATTTTATTTATTTATTTATTTTAGACAGAGGGGAAAGGAAGGAGAGAGGGAGAGAAACATCATTGTGTGGTTACCTCTCCAGCACCCTCTACTGGGGACCTGATCTGTAACCCAGGCACGTGTCCTGACTGGGAATTGAACTGGCGAACCTCTGGCTCACAGGCTGGCGCTCATTCCTCTGAGCCACAACAGCCAGGGCGCATTTTGTTTATTTAAAAAAAATCCCTGAACATTACCTGTGTTTTTGTATAGTTCCTCGTATACTCATGTAGACGCCATATGTGCGTGTGCTCATGTGCACGCGTGGGTGTGTGCACGTGTGAGATGCATTAGAGTACTCACTCGCAATAAAAGGCTTTTGATCAGGCTTGCACCAAATCCTGACTCTGCCACTCTTGTCTTATGTAACTGAGTAAATCACAGATTTCTACATAAGTAATTTATTTTACTGTGAATTGGGAGTAGTAACATTTACCCCATACTACTGCTATGGAGATTAAATGAGACAATGCATGTCAAGCGCTTAGCATAGTGCCTGAAATTTGGCAAGCTTTCAAATAACGGCAGCTTTGTAGAGAACAGAATTCTAAAAAGGACTACAGGCATTGCATTTCAGAAGGGGGCCTCTAGTCTCTATGGGACTAGATGTGCGGTTGTTACCTGACCCTGACCCCAACTTCCCTCCACTGTGGCCAGGAATAGGGGCAGTTTGTGAGCAAAGTGGACATTCAAGACCTGATGGAGCATTTATTTATATGTAAACTTTCACATTTCTTGACATTTCTAAAAACATAGCCTGGGTGAGCAACTCAAAGCTCCTCCAGCACTTACAGCAAGAGGAAAAAGAAGCGTGACCAGCAGCTGGCAGGTTGGACTGTCCTCTGACCTAAGATTATGGTTCTGCAGAGGAAGAAATGAGGGCCACTGGAATACAAGCCATAACCTTAAAATGGAAGGAAACGCGACTGCTTCGAAAACAAGAAAGCAAGCAAAGGCCAGGATGCATACTGACCGGGTTCAGGGAAAAAACCACCAGACACTCCTACTGAAACACCACCCAGAAAGAAAATCTGAATTACAACGTTAAAGAAAAAAATCCCATATGCCACAGCCAGAAAATAAAAACAAAAATAAAAAAAATCAGCTTCATAACACAACAGTGTTTACAGGGTTGAGAGTAAAAGGTATTAAAACCCAGTCAAGCTGTCTTTTATTGTGAACTACAGTAATAATTATGATGATAACAATTAAATAGCTGATAGCTATTGAATACCTCCTACATGCTGTATACTTTCCTAAGCACTTTTAATGTGTTATTATATGTTACAGATTTTACTTATTTTTAGAGAGATGGGAAGGGGAGGAGAAAGAGAGGGAGAGAAACACTGACCAGTTGCCTCTCACATGCCCCCAGCAGGGGAACGGCCCACAACCCAGGCATGTGATCTGTCTGGGAACTAAACCAGTGACCTTTCGGTCTGCAGGCTGGTGGTCAGTTCACGGACCCACAGAAGCCAGGGCTTAATGTATTATTACTGTACTTAATCACATTTTACAGATGTTGCAAGTTAAGCAGAGAAATTCTCAGACATGTAAAGGACTGGAAAAAAATCTAAATGAAACCTAAGGACTTAAGAACTCAGAAGAGGAGATGCTGAGGTATAAAGATGGGCTATAAACATGAAAACATAAAGTCTAAATTTTGATTGCAATTTGCAGTAGGAAATGCAATCTAAAATCGGTACATTTATAACAATCTTTGTTGAAAATGCCAGGTTAGTTAACAAAATCGAAAGGAAGTACGTATAGACTGAAGCTCTCAAAGGGTGATTAATAACCCATCTGATCACAGGATACCATTTTTTACTTGGAACAGTTAAAGAACAGACTCAAAGAATAACTTCTGAAAAGAGAGAAACTAATATACAAATGGACAATAGCCAGATAATAAATAATAGAAAAACTATGACCCAAAACCTTTGGAGCACCCAGACCAGGAGGCCAAATCACCACCCCTGCGGCAACTGCCCCAGAACGGTCGTGACTTCCTCAATGACTGCCGGTGTCCCCATTCTTTGTCCTCGCTTTGTCCAACTCAGGACCAACCGGAGGAAGTCAAATTGCTCCCCAAACGAACCATGCAAGATGCCCCATTTCTCCTTAGCCAGCCTCCAGCTTCCCCATGGCAACAACCTCAGAGCACAAAGCGCACCTGAAACCTTCCTTTCCGGTAAAGATTTCCCGCTCCCCTCCCGCCTTTGAGCCTGTAAGAAACATGAGCACTGGTGGCTGCCTCCCTTACTGCGGCCGGCTCTGCATAACTGGTCTCTGTGTCTGCTCATTTGTTTAGTTCAAAGATGGTCATCACTGGAATGGGAAACAGAACTACACCTTCCAAATCACTGGGGTATTTGAAAGGTAAAGAAAACAGTCTACATAGCAAAATACAGAATCACTGAAAAACAGAAAACACTTCAATGATGTAGGAAAACATAAGACAAAAAAACAGGATGCAAGCTGTTTTTGAAAATACATAGGACACGAATTCACATAAAGGAGAAGCCAGGTTGGAGTGGGACCGGGCTCAGGCCGTTCCGAGGTCAGATGCCTGTTCTCCAGGTGGGCGTTCTGGGGGAACTTATTTAACCTCCTGCAGTCTTTTTTTAATTCTTAAAACTGACTAATAATAGTTCCTACTCATGGGGTTCTTTGAGGGAAAAATAACACATGCAAAGCGCAATCTAGTGCCTCGCATGTAGTTTGCACACAAGAAATGTCTGCTTAAGAAACTGGTTTGAAGGAAATGCACCAATATGTTAATAAATACAGAAACGGGAGCAGGGCTTTTCAATTTTTCTTATTTAATATGGAAAGAATCTTTTCACAACATTAGAACATTGAAATGCACCTGTGAGAGACTTGACTCTCCCACTACTGAACCCTAAAGAGACAAAATGAAATCACGTATCCTGGATAGTTCATAACTCCAGTGTAGAAAGCAGGGAGCTGGGTTCGTTGAACGTACTGCTCTTCTATCTGCAAAAATGTTCCTCCCTTAATTCCTTCAAGACGGCTCCTTTATTTCAGTCAAGCTCACACAGCACCTACTCAGCAAAGCCTTTACTAACTACGCTTTGATTCAAAGTTGGGTTCCCTCTCCTATTGTTTTTTAAGCTACCCTACTTACTGTCTTTAAGTATTAATCCCAATGTAATTACTTTATTTCATCTGTTTGTTTATTGACTAGCATGCCGTTTTCTATTTGCTATTGAACAAGCTCTCAGAGAGCTCGTCTGTCTTACTTTTCTATGTATTTCCAGCACCTAGTCAAGTTGCCTGGTGTGTAGGAGGAGCTCAATAAACACTCATTCAAGAAAGGAACGATCTTAAGAGGAAGCCACTATCATCTACACGAAGCCACTTTCGTTTCATACCAAGACGGCAATGATAATAAAATCAGCTCGTGATCAGGCTGAAAGCGTAGACTCAGAAGTCGGTCTTGTAGAATTTAAGTCACAGCTCCACCAGCTCCAAGGCGAGTCATCAGAGCCAGCTTTCTTACCTTCTCCGAGTCTGTTTCTCCTGTAAAACGGAGATCGTAATAGTGCCAACCTTACAGACTTGTTTCAAGGATTAAATGAGATGACCAAGAATTGAACTTGACAGTAAGAGCTCAAAAAACACTAGTGATTGATATGACATATATTCATCAATATCTGATAGGGTGAAGGACAAAATGGTAAGAGAAATTTTGATACTATTAGAGACTTTGGTGTGAGGCCCACTGTGACTTTTTTCAAGCCGCAATCACTTCCTTTTAATAGCTGACATACCATAAACACTGACTCAAAAGCCCAGAGACAAGCACCGGCCTGGGCAGCCATCCTGATAGATGTGGGTGCAAAACACATTTGAAACCGACAGCTCACATATCTGATTAGATAATTCCAAAGTATGAATGGCATGCTACAGGAAGTGTGAGAATTCTCTTCATCGCTGGAAAACAGGGACAGAACAATGAATGGGAAAGGTAAAATGCAGGGATGATGACCATGGACCAGGAGGTAGTTTCTCTCCTTCTGAGGTCTGTAAATGAATTTAGGAAATTGTACAAAATGAGACGTAGGCCTTTGTCTGGCGCTCTCTTCCTCACAGCCTGGAGCACACGGTCCCTGGCCTGGTGAGCGCTAAAAACCACACCGTTCCTTTTTACAATTCCCTCGGCGCCCATAACCCTGCATATGCTGCTCTCTGAGGTGTACATGCACCCCGCCCCCCGACCTTTTTAACATTTCTCTTCTTTGACTGGACTTCCCTACTCCGGTCTTGAAATTACAGTGACGCTGACATGCAGGGGTCACCATGACTCTCCCAAACCAAATTAGCCAACAGGGCAGGTTAAAAAGCAATTACGGTAGCCCATAGGAAATCACAATGGACTGCAACTAACACAGAAAAAACAATTACCATAATCAATACACTTTAAGCACATCAAAATGAATATTTCCACATGTCAAAACGGTTCCAGATTTACAAAGCAACCAAACTAAACAGAAAACACATTTAGTTTTCATAATGACTCTGCATGCGTCCTTGCCTCATGTTGGGTCCTCGCCTCTTTTCTCACCATTCTGTGAAGTTTTGCTTTCTTTTTTTTTTTTTTTTTTTTAGAGATTTTAAAAATTTTAATTTTTTTCACCTGGCCCTATTGCTCTACTCGGCTTCTTCATCTGACTTTAGTTTGTTTGTTTCTCGTCTTTCCTCCCTCTGCTCCTTTCACCTCCTGTAATTTATCTGGGCCCTCACTTCTCATCCAGGGAATTTACACTTCACATTAACGCAGCCTGTCTTTGATTCTGCGCACTTATGGGGCCTGCACGCTTCGCATTTGCAACTTCTCTCCTCATAGTCTTCCTTTCACTTCAAATAATTTAGTGCCGCTCTTTTAAAATTTATACCCTCCATAACAATATCCATATTAATGTCTTTTCTTTTTCCCCATATTCTTTTTTTTTTTTTTTTACTTACCCTGAGTGTGCTTTCTTAGACACAACATAAAACAAAAGCCTTTCATAATTTTGATTGTTATAACTTCTGTCACATAATAATGCGTCTGATCTTCTCTGGTGACTAAACCATTTTTCTTTTGCTGAGTTCCTCGTCGCGTTTACGTTCACTGGGGATCCACCCCAACCCTTTGGCAGAATTAGTGTCTAGATGAATAATCATTGCCTACATAGATCTGCGGGCAGAGATTCGTTCTCTTGGTTGCCCCCTGCCCCCCACTTCTTTGGCTGTGAGCTTTCCACGCTGCGGCCTTTAACCAGCCCAACTAGGACAGGAGTTTGGTGCTGTTTTTCCTTTTATAAAGGATTAATTCACCGTCACTGGTTGCTTGCTGAATTCGCCGTGAGGACTCTGGTGTAGCAATTACTTACTGAAGACCTGCGGTGTGCAAAGCCTGGGGCGGGCAGCTGGCAGAGACAGACGTATCCGTCTATGGAGTCAAGGCTTCCGGGAGCAGAGACAACACTCAATGAAGCCACACGCCCTTCTGGCCAGTCCCCTTGCGGTGTCCCTACCTCAGTGAGCCACGATGCCACCGGTCCAGGAGCGGAGTCAGAAATGCAAAGTCGTCCCAGATGCCTCTCCCCACACGCGTCCGCTCCATTAGGAGGCCTATGCAGTTCGCCTCCTAACATCTCCAAGTTTGTCTCCTCTTTTCAACTTTACTGTCACCCTCCGGGTCCAAACAGACTAGGAAAGAGCCTCTCAGCAGACTGCCCCAGCTGCTTTTGTCCCCCAGCTTAGTTTCTGTATGTTAATCAGTTCTCTTTTGAAAGTATACATAGCATTAGTTCACACCGTCCTTAAGATGCACAGACAGCTCCCCACGGCTTGTAGGAGAATGTCCTGGGTGGCCTGTTGACATGGCAGGGCTCTTCTCTCCCTGAAGGCTATTCCTCAGAGTGCCTTCCGGGAGGTGCCGGCTCTGTGTGGCGCCTGCCTGAGAGCTGGGAAGTGAGACGGAGAAGAGACCATTGCTTTGGCAGTGGCCCGAGAGTGTGAGGACATCAGGAGACCGCTGAGAGGAGGTCCGGCTGGCAGCTTCCAGGACCTCCTGGAGACGGGACAGCCTGGCCTGGCCTCACAGACAAAGGATGTCAGCCAGGACCTGGAAGTCAGTCTCCAAAGCAGTTCGAGGGACGATCATCTCGACTGTCCTCAGTGGCAGGGTCTGACCCTCAGACCTGATACTGACTCAGCCCTTCTGTGGCATTAGCGGGAGGGATGTCACCAACCAGTCTGCTTACTGGCTCTGCTCTGCTATTGTCTGCTCTTCGTTCTGCACACTCACTGTTCCTTGACGCCTCTGTTTCCTCGTTTTCCTTTGTCACCTCGGCTTTCGCTTTCACTATCTTCTTATCCTCTTCCCACATTTCCCTGTTCAAATTCTTGAGAAAGAAAGTCAGTAGCCAGGCAATCACTCCCATCTCCATCCGAGTAGTTAGCAGCACCTCCCTGAAACTTCACTTCCTTCTCTGCAACATGGGAAAACACCACTGAGCTGCGTGGCAGAGCTGCAGCGGCGAGACCCGGAAAAGGTGACGTGTGTGCAGCAGCCGCAGCAGCCAGCACGGCCGGGCGGCAGCACTTGCCACATGCTGGTTCCTTCCTCCCCTCTCCCTCAAGTCCACGCCCCTGCCTTTCCCTGGATGTGTGGCATTGCAGGTGCTAAACAAGTATCTGCTGTATGTGTGTACAGAGAGAGAAAGTGAGAGAAATATCTGCTTAGTATATAGCCAGCTATTTGATATTAGATACTAAAAACAACAACAATAACAAAAAACAAAACAAATAACGTAGAGGCAAAATAAAAATTATGAACCCTTGCTATTTTTGAGCATTCTGCCTCTCCTCAAATTTCTGCTGTTTCATCATACTCTCAAACTGAAGATGGTCTCCGCTGTACGTTTCTGGATCCCTTACCAAGCGTGGCTACACAGTTCTGTCACACACCCATCTGAACGGCACCCCCGTTCCCTCCCCAGACCACGCCCACTCACGCTCATGCTGGTTTTGACAAAAGCAGACACTAAATATACTTGCCCTGCATGAACATTTTATGAAGAGGCCACACATATTATCGATTTGCCAATGAGAGAAAATGCAAATATTCATTCTTTCTTTCTGTCTTTCTTCCTACCTACCTTTGTGTTTTGTATCTACCTACATTTACAATGTAAATATTCACAGACATTCTGGCTGTGACCTTTAAAAAAACCCAGCAATATCTGAACCGAAACTAAACAAAATCAAACAGAAGCACCCCGAGTGCTTGAGCTCCGTTACACAGAAAATAGTGGTGCAGCTAAAAATCAGACCTGGGTTTGAGTCCTGCCCCTGCTACTTATTATCAAGCAATTAGGGATTTCTACACTCGGGAGGAAGCATAATGAAGCGGATGAGAAATGAATGCCAGCGGAATAAATGCTGCAGTCAACCAGACATGACTTTATAGTACTGGTCTGCATGCTTTGTAGCAGTCCAAACGGCATACATGCCCAGGGAATGTGGGGTTTGTGTGGGGTGCCAATGGCCCCCTGGGGACGGTCTGACGGAAGGTGGCCAGAAAAAAGAGCCCGAAGGAACGGCCTATGAGCTGAGCGTGTACGGCTGGCAGCAGCCAGTCCGGCCTGGGGCCAGGCAGGAGGGAAAGGTGGGGATGTTGTTTCTCTTAAGAAAAGGCGCACGCAGGTGTCTGTTCCACGTGTACGATCTAATGACAGCATCACAGGTAGGCAGGTTCCTAGGTTGTGGAGCAGACAGTCATCTTGAATAGATACTTAGCTTTATAGAAAAATACTTTTTAAAGATTTTATTTATTTCTTTTTGGAGAGAGAGGAAAGGAGAGAGAAAGAGAGGGAGGGAAACATCAATGTGTGGCTGCCTCTCATATGCCCCCTACTGGGGACCTGGTCTGCAACCCAGGTATGTGCCCTGACTGGGAATTGAACCAGTGACCTTTCGGTTCATAGGTCGGCACTCATTTCACTGAGCCACACCAGCCAGGGTGATAGAAAAATGCTTTTATCTAATCGTTTTAACAAATTGTGTGTAAAGCATCAGGGTCCTGACGGGAGTAAATAAGGATCTGCCACCATAATCCCCCTTTCAGAAAACAGGAGACAGAAAGGCACCTTATACCATGCTAAGTACATGTTCTAACCAGCGAATCGATCAGTAAGAGTTGGAGAAGGAATATTTACAGCGTGAAAATACTTCTGCTAGTGGGAGTGGGCTGGGGATAACGGAGCTTGGGAAAGAATACCTCTCCTTGGGAGCATCCCGACCAACAGTGTGAGGACCTGCCAACACCGGGCAGAGTGACAAAGACAGGGCGCTGTCAGGAAGCTTAGTGGTTTCCTGCCACATCTGAAACAGTTACTGTTTTGTGTAGAAAAGAGGACGCTCACAACCTGAGCAGAGGAAATAAGGAGGGTCCGGCAGAAGGAAGGGCTACGTGAGTGCGGCTGGCAGGGTAATAAACACGGGTGCAACGATTTATACTTTTAATTTGAACATTTCACCTAAGATGTCATAGGGTGTGCTTGAGTGTGATGTTGTTATGTTACAGAATTACATGCTTATGACTTTGTAATTAAAAAGGGGTGTTACTTGTGCCGGATCCTGTATTTATACATTTAGAATACGTAACATTTTCTGTATTTGGCCCTGGCTGGTGTGGCTCAGTGGACTGAACACTGGTGTGAACCAAGGGGTCACTGGTTTGATTCCAGGTCGGGGCACATGCCTGGGTTGTGGGCCAGGCACCGCCCCCCCAGTAGGGGGCAGGAGGTAGCCATGCATTGATGTTTCTCTCCCTCTCTCTGAAAATAAATAAAATCTTTAAAAATCTTTCCTGTATTTATATGTAAAAATAATATATTTAGCCTTGGCTGGGGTGGCTCAGTGGATTGAGCACCAGCCTGTGAACCACAAGGTGGCCAGTTTGATTCCCAGTCAGGACACATGCCTGGCTTGTGGGCCAGGGCCCCAGTTGGGGGTACGTGAGAGGCAACTGATCAGGTTTCTCTCCCTTCCCCTCTCTCTAAAAAAGTAAATAAATGACATATTTAAAAATAATATTTTATCGGTATATAAATATAATATATAAAATAATATATAATATAGAAATATACAATATATGACATATATATTTAGAATACATACAGATGTGGGGATCTTAAGGAACTATTTTCACCAGTTTCAGCCTTTTCAGTTGTTGCTCTTACACTCTTAAAATGTTTGCATTGATAATATGCAAGGTGATTTCTATTTATATAAAATCTGTTTAATAACCCCCATGAGCATTAACCCACTTTGTAGATGAAGAAAGCTGGAGTATTTTATCATTCCTCCAACTGTATTTTGGGCAATTGATGAGGGTAAATTCATCGTCACTTTAGCGTGTCTGACCTTGGGTGGTCCTGGCTGTTCATGTGATCTTGTCTCCTGACAAAATTACTGGCTCCGTCGGGAAGGTCGGCACAGGGCTCCGGAGACCAGCACCAGGCTCAAGGCTCCAGCATTTCAGGACTGACTCCACAGCTTTGGGGAACCTGTTTCACCCCATCCGCTCGCATTTTAAAACCGGGATGAAGGAAGAGGCCCATTGCAGTCCTTTCCCACTCTGAGCGCCCCGTTTTCACAGAGGCCACTCCTTCCTGGTGAACTGGACTCTTTCACAGCCTTGAGCGCAGAGCACTTGCCCATTACAGCTCTTGAACTGTTAAGGAAACCTGCCATGTTCGTGGGCTTCTGTATCCTAGTACTAAAAAAATCTCAGCTCCTGGCTCTACAAACAAGTAGCCCTTGGAAATGAAATCAGATATAAGATGTCATTGTCAAAAACATAATCATCATCAGTCATAACCAAGTGGCAGCTCTCAGTCACAGTGCAGCCTGGCCCATATTTCATTTTAACCCTTTAATAATCCTGTGTGGGGTACATATTATTCCTATTTTACAGATTAAAAATCAAGGCTCTTTATAGAAACTTTCTAAGTAAACGTGCTACTTTGCTAGGAAATACATGATTAGATCTTCCTTAGACTTTCATTTACTATTCCTGGGAAAATGTATTCTAGACTTCCCAGGATAAATCAAAAGTCACTTATAATTCATATTAAATGCTACCAGGAGCCCAGCATTGAAGTTAATACAAGAAACAGACACATAACCCTCATATATACGTTTTAATCAGAATTAAAGATAGCCTGCATGTAATATTCGACATTCCTTATCTGAAAGCTAAGCAGCTACCCTTCCAGTTGTTTCCGTGGGGACTGCACCAGGGCCCTGGGGTCACACCACAAGGCACACGGACTGTCATCTCCATGCCACCATCACACTTAGCACAGATTTAAAATGCAGCTCCTCTGTCAAGATTTCTAGTGCCCAACTGCTATACACAGGGGTGGCTGCAGTCGTGGGAAGCACAGATACATCTCATAATTGCAGGCAGGTTCTATTGAACAGCACTGCTTTAGAGTCTGGAGTATTCGAGAAATCAACACTTAAAACTCTTGAAGTTTAATTACCACTGGGCAAGTCCACGCTGCAGAGTGGCTAAGAGCACAAATTCTGTAGCCAAACTTTCTAGCCTCAAATACTGGGTCCAAGCTATACAACTCTGAGCAAGTAACTAACTACTCTGTGCCTTAGCACCCTCATCTGTAAAATGGGAACAATAACAGTGCAACTTTTACAAGGAGTTGTGAGCACTAAATGGGTTAATGTACAGAAAGCACTTATAACAGTCTCCAGCGCGTGTGTGCTATTTAAGTGTTAGACCTTAATCCTATTAGTTTCACGCTGGAACATACGTCCAGAATTTAGTGTCTGTTACTGCAGAATGGATGCAAACCAATTCTTGTAATCTTTTCTGTGTCCACCTTCCCCACAAGCCCACCGTACTAGAATAGGTTAAAATGCCCCCTTGTCAGCAGGAGGATGCATGAGACCGGGTACAATTGGCTCCTTACTTGTATAGCAGGATGTCAGCCGCCTGGAGCACCGGGTACGTGAGCAGGCCCACGGTTCCATCGTGCTTCTGCCTGGCAGTCTTTGCCTGTGGGGTGAAAAAGAGGAGGGGAAGACGTCGACATGAACCTAGTTATACTGCCAAGGTAAGAAATCGTTATAGCAGGCAACGGGTAACCTGAAGCCACCTGTAAAAACACTGCATCTCAGGCCCCTCTAGCAGCTCGAGCCGTCTTCCGGCTGGCTCGTCTTTGTGCTCCAGGCCTAGGCAGGGATGAGGGAGTCCACTCCACCACTGCCACCGTCTCTCATTCATTTTATTAAGCTAAGGGCATGAGTGTTTTCCAGGTTCCAAGTCAGATGCATTCCTGACCTCAAAGGTGAGGCCGGGAAATGTCATGAGATGACCTGTCTATATAACAACACTTGATAACATCAAATGCCTGTCGTTTGCCTGGGGGAGCATCCCAGTAAGTCTCACACTGTGCAGCGGACAAAACTGGAGTGCCCCCTTACCATCTCACTTAAGAAAACAACAGCCCATCCCTCAATCATGGCACTGAAAAAATAAAGAGAAATTTTAATCTGCCAATCCTAATGATCTGCATTGATCTTTAGATGCTAAAGTAAAGTGATTCCAATGGACAGGACAGGTCACAGAGAACAGAACATTTCCTTAACAGGGAAGCTGATGGAGACACCAGGGGTGACATTAGAAATAGTTAATACCTGGTGAGCACTGGGTGCCAACTATAAACCACCAGTATGTTCCGCTGAATGTGAGCCCCAGTGATGCCAGCTCCCTGCTGCAGTTGAACAGGGTGACAGGTAATTTGGTTCTCTGAGTAGGGCTACTTATGAGCAAGGAATATTATGTGCAGTTCACTGGTAACTGCTTCCAAGTCTAGGTATCTCGCTGCATGTACAATGAGAAATGGATATCCTGGTGTGTAGATAAATCTCATTTGTCTAGTTAGCATGAATCTCTTCTCAGGAGTCCTTTTATTACTGAATGAATCAAACGGCTGAATTTATGGCCTTGGATGATCCCCAGCGCCAGGCTCAACAACACTCACAACTCAGGCTGCCCAGAAACATGCAGACACGCCCCATGAGCCGGGGTCTGAAAGGCAAAAGCTTTGCTCTCCAACCATCGTAACGTCAGTGTTCCATAATTCACTTACAAACTTAAATTTCCTGGTTACTGCTTCAAGGGGTTTCTGGCTCACAGCAACTATGCTGTAGGCCATTCAAAGGCAACGTGAAAGTTCAAACCCAGCTCCCCTCCGTTCATCTCCTTACAATGTCCATGCTAAAGGACGGTCCCCAACAATCACTGCGTAGAGATAATGAAAGTTTAATTTGGAAATGAGCAAATGGGAAAAGAACTCAATTTTTAAAATTGCCACTGCATTAGATTTATAGCCCTTTTATATTAGAAGACTGGATCTTGAAATTGCAAAGAGAAGGGAAAGATGTGGAGAGTACTAATATTTACTGAGTGCTTATTATCAGCCCCAGATGGCTTATATCTGTTATCTCGTTAATCCTCCCAATAGCCTGGACCTTGGCAGCCCTCACTCTCCACCTTCCTCCCACACTATCCCACCCCTCATGGCCCCGATCAAAACCAAGCTGGTGCTCTTAGATCCGGAACCTTCCCTTTTTCTTTCATACTTTCTAATCACTTGTTTCACTGCCTTTTCTCACATGGACTATAAGCCTCATGAAAGGGGCCACATCCATCAGTCTTGATGACTGCTGAGCCTCTAGCACCTAGTGTGATAGGAGACTTGGAGAAGCATCACAAGTCTATGCCAATGAAGAAAGGACCACAGACAGCAGTGATGTGCTCCAGGTGAAGGCTGGCGTGGGAAGTCCATGTTTTCCCCACAAATACGAAATTACGGGCTCAGGGGAAGGCGCCTCCAGGGTGTCAACACAGCATTCACTAGTTAGCGTCACCGGGAGGTCCTCAGACACTATTTTCAAGGAGGAACATTTCCCATTAAATTAGTATCCAGCTCTTATAAACAAGGATTTCAGTATTTAACTGAGTGTTAGAGCACTATGATGAACCGGGAAAGTCTTGCCTAAAGCTAAAATGTGGTGGAGAACACTACCAAATTCTGTTCTGAATTCTTGTCAGCATCGTCAACGCCTCTTTCTCAAGCACTGTTTTGTTAAGCCCTGTCCACGGCCCTCCGCAGCCCCGGCCAAGCTGCTGAGTCAGCTGGCTGGAAAGAGGCTCGAGGCTGAAATTGGCACCGCCGCAGCCAGGGCCTACCTACCCCTGGGTTATCCAGTTGCAAAAATAAATGGAAGTAAAGTACTGCGAATTATCAAATTTATCTCTCTTAGTTGAACTTGTAAGAAAAAGTCTAGCCTTAATTTTTTCTGTGGGTTTGAACTGTTGCCTGGACTCAACTTGTTTAAATGTTAAATAAAATATGTTGTCTCTTCTGCCCACAATGAAAACATTCTTAGGCCTCACTGCCAGTTAATCCCAGTGCCGATAGGACGACTTCAGAGAGTCCGGCAATCCAGATATAGTGATTGTTTGTTAATTATAATGTGGCAGCTTCAAAGCCATTGCCAAGTCCACCAAAGGTTACTCCGATTCAACCATACACAGATAAAATCAAGTAATAAGTTGGATATTTTTACCCGGTTTTTCAGTTGGAAGGAATCTTAGGGAACTCTTTTAATTTCCATCTAATACGGCGAGGCACAGAGTTTAAAGAGAGCCCTTCTAGTTACTAGTGAGTTGCAGACCAGGGAAGTCAGTAACTCAGGATTCCTAGGGCTAGCCACAAACATAAACAGAGAGGGGAAAAACAGCTGTAATGCGGACCTTGAACTTCTGCTTGTTAATCAGACTATAGCATTTACCTTCCACTGGTGTAAATGCTGTAATCGGGGTAGTCTGACCATGCAGGTGAGGATCCAACTTAATTGTGTGTGTTCGGCCACCTAAAGAAATAAAGCAGAATGTTAACAAAGGTGGTCAATGTTTTTCTTGCATACGCAACAAAACCAAACAGACAGGTGTCACCTGAAATGGCCGAGAATACCCCAAATCAAGGTAATTTTTAAAAGGACAGGTGGCAGAGATGGATTCGTAATGCACGGGACTTTAGGTGAAGAAGAAATCTGCAAAACTAACCAATAGGATTGCTAATCTAGAGTTTAAATCTTTTTTACAACATCCCTTTCAAGAGGCTGACCACACTGTTTCAAAATCTTCAGTGAGAGGATTTCACTAAATCCTATTCCCTCTTTAAAAAGCCAAAGTTATTAACACACACACACACACACACACGTTCAAATCCAGTCTAAATGACTTCTAACTATATGAAAGTAGCTATAATACCTTACATGTAAATAGTAGAGAAAGGTATTGGATTTAAAGATTGATCCTTTAGACCTAGAATAAAGAGAAATTTAGGAATCACTTTATCATCTCAAAGGGTGTTTTTATAGTTTCTAGTTGTTCTTCCTCCTCTTCCTCCCCCCCCCCTTTTTTTAAAAGAAGTCTAGTCAACAAAAAATATAGCCTTTCCCAATTTGCTTTTGTTTTAACCAAACTTAATCGAGTCACCAAACTGGTTACAATCGGGGTGGTTCCTGGGCCCCGGCCAGGTTCTCAGTGATGACCTGGAATGTGAGGCCTATGCGTCTTGTTTCCGGACCCTGGAGATTCCGGGGCTTCATCCACTGTGGCTTTACTTGTGTCCATATGATTTCCTTCAAAAGCAGAGACTGTTGCCAACTCTGAAAAGTGGCCCCAAATGTGTTCTTTGTGGGTTTTGCAAAAGGAACATAAGGGGATGGGGCCGAATCAGCCCGGGCCTATTTCACGAGCAAGGAATCGCCATCTGGCTTAAGCGAGCTTCTCATTTTTTCCCTCAAGTCATGGAGAGGGAAGAGTTGTTTTTCACATGTTTGACAAGGAATCGCTTTTCAAGTTTTGCAAGCTGCTGGGCTGAATCTGTCATCTTTCTTCCCAGAGCCGTTGGGGCCTCCCCAAGGGCAGTGACTTTGACAGCACCATCCGTGCAAATTGCTAACTGCTGCTGTAAACAAACAGCCACCAGGCAAGCACAGGGACGCTGGGTGGGGCAGGAGGGCTCGCGTTGCTTCTAATCATCAAGCAGAGCACATACCTATTAGAACTAATCAAACAAGAGCTGGTTTTTGGCATGAAGAAGTAGGAGGGGTTTTTTGTTTCTTCTTTACTGCACCGGGGAGAGGAATAATATAGAAAATAACAGTGGACACGCGGAAAGGACAAGACAATTCCCTTCCTTCAACACGGGCTCAGGTGGTCAGCTCTGGCAATGCGCAAACAGCTAGCATCAGGTCTCCGTGAGGTCAAGTATTTTCCTTGGAGTAGCATTTTATATTTTATTTTGATGAATGGAATGAGACTTTAATAATCTCCAGAGATCTTCCTGGTGTTTCCAAATAAGGGGGCATACAATTAAGCCAAATTATTCTTAGACAGAAAAATAAGTAGGTAAAAGGTCAAAGACAATTTTCCCAACTTATTATTACTAATTATATAAGAAGAGTAGAACACTTCAGGCTTTGGCTTTTTTAATTTACTCATATTTCCAAGACAACTGCGTGGACAGGTTCAGGTTGGTATTTGGAGAAAAGTAAAAATGGCATTGTGATGTGGTATGTTCTGAGTTATGCTGTGAAACCACAAACAAAATGATAATGTGACCTGTTTGAGCCGCAGAAAAACAAAATCATGACACGATAAGATGGCCATCCACAGACAAGTCACTAGTGACCAAAGATTTCGGGCCCCTAAAGGTAACAGTGAAGACGCGTGTGTTCGTCAGCTGCAGCAGTTCTGCCTCCTCTTGTTCGTTGCTGTAAATCAAGAGTCTGATCCTAAGAATCCTAAAACATCAATATCAAAGAACCTATGCACCTCAATGTTCATAGCAGCACAATTTACAATAGCCAAGAGTTGGAAGCAACCTAGGTGCCCATCAGTAAATGAATGGATCAAAAAATTGTGGTACATATACACAATGGAATTCTATGCTGCAGAGAGAAAGAAGGAGCTACTACCTTTTGCAACAACATGGATGGAACTGGAAAGCATTATGCTGAGTGAAATAGGCCAGGCATTGAAAGACAAATACCATATGATCTCACCTTTGACAGGAAGCTAAACAATAAAACAAAACAAGCAAACAGAATAAAAACAAAGACACTGAAATAGAGAACAAGGGGACAGTGACCAGAGGGGAGAAGGAAGGGAAGTTAAGGGGAAAAAGGGGGAGGGATTTGGAGGAACAAATAGGAAGGACACAGGGACGAGAACTAAGGGGGGTGGAAATGGGAGGGAGGTGGGGAGCAAGGGGCGGGGAGGCTGGGATGGGAAAAATAGACAAAAAACTGTACTTGAAAAATAACTAAATAAAATTAATTTAAAAAATCAAGAGTCTGACACGTGGTAGGTGCTCAATAAATACTTATTGAATGTATGAGCAATATCAAAGGCTGCAGAAAGAATGGTTAGGACCAAAAAGTATCTATTAGATTTAGCAACAGGCTTGCTGGTCATCCAGGTACAAGCAGTTTCCTTGGAGTGATTGGAAGGACGCTACAGTACAGGGGGTGGGTCGGAGTGTGAGTAGGAGGCAGGAGATGAAGACAGATGTACAAGAAGTAAGGCTAAGAGCTCTTAACCCCTCCTCAAAGAAGTGGTTAAGAGCTCTCTCTTTGGAGTGAGGCTGCCTGGATCCTAATGCAAGTTCTGCTATTATTAGCTGGGTGACCCTGACTAAGTGACTTAACCTCTCTGTGCCTCAGTTCATCATTTACAAAACAAAGTTAACAACAGTATCCACCTGACAGTGCTTAGAACAGTATGTAGCACACAGTGAGCGCTCAATAAATGGTAGCTATTATTATGGATAATTTCCCGGAAGACTTTTAATTTTGAGATGACAGATTCATATATAGTTGTAAGAAATAATATAAAGAGGCCCAGTACACCCTTCACCCAATTTTCCCAATGGCAACACCTTGCATAAGTATAACGCAGTATCACAACCAGGAAACGGAATCTGGTACGATCCATCCACCCTATTTAGATTTCATCAGTTTTCCATGCACTCATTGCATGGGTATACTTAGTCCTATGCAATTCTATCACATCTAAGACATTTGTTTTTTAAGAAAGGGTAGAGTTGGTGGTAGCTAGTAGGAGGGGATAGGCCTACTTCACAAAACTTCTTCCACTGAAACCGGAGGAGAGGAAATAAATATAGATGAAGTTCTATCTTGTAGGAGAGAAGCAGAGAGCAGAAAGTTCGAGGACTTCACGTGTAAGGGCTCCACTGTCTCTGAACATAGCAGACAGGGTGATTAGAAACAACTGGGGTAAGAAACATACTCAACAGAATTGCTGGGTTTGATGGGGAAGAAGAAAAGATCTTCTGGAACAGAGTTCTATGAGGCATGATGGCTTGTGGATGTTTTTGTGAATTAAAGAGGGCAATCATTTGTAATATACCCTCTTGGGGAAACACTGGTATTCTTGAAGATAGACTAGTGTTCTGCCTAAATAACAAGTCTTTAAAATTTTTGCAGAAAAAAATTCAATCAGTTGGTTGCATCTTTAATTTCCTTTGGCCAGTAAGGATTTTTAATGGGATCCAAGAAGTACTAAACACAAAGCAGAATTATCTGGATAAATTAAACTCCATTAAAATGGACAACTCTTTATCCAACCCCATCATTTAAAACGGGTGTCAAGCTCATTTTCACCAGGGGCCACATCAGCCTCGTGGGTGAATTACATTCAAAGGACTGAATGTAATTTTAGGAATGTATAGATGTAATTACTCCTTAACAAGGGGCAAGGAGCTTGGCACTGCTGCCGGGCAGAAACAAGGTGCCGGGCCAGATAAAACAAGGTGGAGGGCTGGATAGGGGCTGAGGGCCTTATGTTTGCCACCTGTGATTTAAGAAAGAAAAGAAAAGTTACAGAGTGGGACAAGATATTTGTAAACCTATACAGAATATATTGGTGTACAGGAAATGTGGACACTCCTACAAATTGATAAGAAAATAGCAGACAAACCTATGAAAATTGGCCAAATGCATTAAATGCATATTCAAGTGGTATCACTGTGGTACCACTACCCAAGCATCAGGATGATTAACTCAAAAAGCCTGATCATACCAACTATGGCGAGGATATTAAGTAAACAGAATGCTTATACATTGCTGTAGGATGTAAACTGGCAATATATCAACTTTAAAAACTATGTCCACTAATGCTCAACATTCGTATAGCATATGACCAAGGTAGTCCACTTCTAGGTATACATCTAACAGGAATGACCTCAAAAATATGTGTGCAATAATAGCCCCAAACTGTAAGCGATCCAATTGCCCACCTGTGTAGAACGGGTGAATAGTGGTACATCCACACCATGGAACACTATAGCAATGAGGATGGATGAACAACTGCACTGAACAACACAGGTCAATCTCATAGAGGCAATGTTGAACGAAAACAGAAGGGTATGCACTAAATGATCCAAGTTCTATTAAATTCAGAAACATATTATTGTGCAGAAGGACAGCTGGAGGCTGCAAAGGGGCCTGGAGAGCATTCTGGGCACGAGCGACACGGGTGTGCTCAGTGTGTGAAAACAGGTAAGAGGCAGTAAATGCAACTACACTGGGCCTCCAATAAAATAAAATTAAAACCTTTTTGGTGTTTAAAGTAAGGTGATGGGACTTCTGGAATAGTCAAGTAACCCCTGAGAATCTGCTCCTTCACAAAAGCAATGAGAACACTAGCAAACACTGTTCAACTCAAGTTTTTCCGAACTGTGGAAATTAATCCAAGGTGGCAATAACCTGAAGAGTATTTATTTAAGGAAAACATCCAAATCTCAGTAAAAACGAAGAGCTTTGTGGCATTTTAACTCATC